GATTTATCAAAAGCATTTGATACAGTAAATCATGGCATTTTGATTCATAAACTTAAATATTATGGAGTGGATGGTGTAATTTTGAAGTGGTTTAAAAGTTATTTAACAAACCGAAAACAATTCGTTTCTTTTAACGATCCTTATCAAAAAAATATTTTAGATTTTTCATGTGGTGTTCCGCAAGGATCAATTTTAGGGCCACTTCTTTTTTTAATATACATTAATGACTTGCATAAAGCTTCTAATCTTTTAAGTATTATGTTTGCGGATGATACTAATTTATTTTTATCTGATAACAATATTAATAAACTCTTCACTACTATGAATGAAGAACTCAAAATAATTTCTAGCTGGTTCAAATGCAATAAACTTACCCTAAATATTAAAAAAACAAAATGGATTCTTTTTCATTAGATAACTAAAAAACGTTATTTACCCCCAACTCTACCTGATATTTTTATTGAACATATTGAAATAAAAAGAGATTGCACCACAAAATTTTTAGGCGTATTCTTTGATGAGAACATCACATGGAAGCAACATATTGATTATGTTGGTACTAAAGTTTCAAAAAATATTGGAATTCTTTATAAGGCCAGAATCTATATAAATAAAAAAGTTTTATCCCAACTTTATTATGAATTCATTCATAGCTATATGAATTATGCAAATATTGCTTGGCAAGCACTGAAAAAAGTAAGTTACAATCTCTCTATCGCCGTCAGAAACATGCAATACGTGTAATTAATTTTGCTGATCGTTTTTCTCACTCTAAACATCTTTTTTCTGAAATGAGAATACTTAATATTTACGAACTTAATATTTTTAATATTTTATGCTTTGTATATATATGTAAAAACAATCTTTCTCCTGCCGTTTTTAATGATTTAACTACTTTGAAACCTACCAATAAATATTCTCTAAGAAATAACAACCTTCTGTATGAGCCTTTTTGTCGAACAAGTTTTAACCAATTTTGCATTGATTATCGTGCACCCCATCTTTGGAACAAAATTGTTTTGCCTAATTTCAATTTTGATCTACCTACTTCTTTGCATCTTTTTAAAGTTAAGCTGAAAAATCTTTTTCTCTCCCGTATTATCAAAATTTGACAATAATATTTATATTATGGGAATATTTTTTAAACTTTATTATATATACTACAAAGTGATATATGTATGTATATATTTTTTTTTTATTTTGTTGTACTTATAGTTACTTTATAATATAGCATTTTGTTTACACTAGTATAAGGTTCTGACAATAAGATCTTACTGATCTTCTTTCAGATACCTAGTTTTTCAAATCTTAGTAGTATTTGCCAAGACCATAACTTAAATTATAAAAGATGATGATGCCAAGACCATAACTTAAATTATAAAACATATTTTTATTAGATATATTTTTCCATTGAGAATTCTTAGTTGACAAACAAGATGGTGCTTCTGCCCTGCAAGGGCAGAAGCACCATCTGCAAATCTGCTGTTGCTATTAAAATATAAAGCACCATCATGCAAATCTGCTGTAGCTATTAAAATATTGCAAGAAAACCCAAAGCCCTATCTATTTACTGCTCTAACCATAGTCTTAATCTAATTCTTCAGCAAGTAGGTAACAACTGCCTTATCATTAAATATACAAAAAATTTAGTACACGGCATATAAAATTTAATTCATGCATTTCCAAAACGATTAGGCATTTTTGAAAACACTTGATTTGCTTTTCTTGTAGAAAACATTTGCGATTAAATTATTTTATTTAATTAAACGTTAAAAACATTTAGCGATTAAAGCCCATATGTCCTACACCTTTGACAGCACGCAATAAGTCAATAGAAGCAGTTCTTGAAAACTACATAGCAATATTTGATACACTAGGAGAGATAGTATTTGAAGCAGGATCAAATGAGGCGGTCAAAAAAACTCCTGGTATACTTTTTCAAATTAAGCTGTTCAACACATTTCTTGAGTTAAAAGTAGTACAAATAGTGTTGTTTTTTTTTGGTAGAAATTGTCTCCCAGTTCTTCAAGCAAAAGACATTGGTGCCCAGTGTGTCTGAAACAGCATAAAAACATTAAGTAGACATTTGGAAACTCTTTGTTGTGAAGAAACTTTTAAATCGATATTTTTATCATTTCAGCTGTTGCAAACAAGCTAGATTTTGCAGGAAATCCAGAGCTTTCTTGTAATGTAATGAGACAAAAACCTCCTGCAAAATACGATTATAGCGTAGCACCACACTTTTGGATTTCTATGGGAAAATACTTGCGAAGTCAACTTTTTACTATCATAGACCTCTTACTTTCAGAAATGTTGAGATAGTTTAATAAGAAAACTTTGAAACGTGTTAGAAGAAATTGAATATTTTAACTTTTAACGTGTTAAAAGAGAAGTTACTCAATCTTCTCGTAGATGCAACAATAAAAATAACAAGAAAAACAACAGAAAAATAAGATGATATAAAGCTTTACCCCTGAATAATAATATAACAGCAGAATTAAATAACAATTTACCCATATTTGTTTGTAATATAATGTATGGTGCGGTACATAATGTGCTACGTAAAACTATTTTGCGTGTAGAAATATTAGAAATATTTAAAAAAAAGTCAAATTTAATATCTACCATTACTTGGTGTATATTGAATTTGCACCTAAACGGTCTAGAAATGAAAGAAATTGTTATTAAAATTTTTCAAGGTTCAGCTGTTAGGCACAATTTCAAGAAATGACATGTAGGGACTAGTGTTGCAAAGGTAAAATTTTCCGGTAAATTTACCGGAAAATTTTAAAAATTTACCGCCTGATAAATTTTGAAATTTTTTTTTCTTATTTTTATTTTTCTTTAACAAAAAAATTTTTTTATAAGGAAAATTTACCCAATCCGATTTAAAATTTACCGTTAAATTTACCGGTAAATTTTGTCGGTAAATTTTACCGGTATATTTTGAATTAAATTTTGCCAGAAAATTTACATCACTATTAGAGACATACTTTAAAATAACACATGTAGAGAAATATACTGTAATAAAAATACATGTAGAGACATAACCTATGCCACATAAAATTGATCAATATATTATTGTTTTTTTGCCAACTTTATACCTTTCAACCGCCTATCACAAAATGATACAGGTGACCAATCCATCAATTTTTGCGGTATTTTTGCAGCAAAACAATTCATAAAATTTTAGCATTATTTTAATAAACGAAATCATAAACTAACAATAGCAAATTCAATGCCTTGCCGGTTTGATTACTAGTATTCAAAGCCGTGTTATACTAGTGTTCAAATCGATTACAAAAAAAAAGAAATAAAATTATTTACGTTTTATTTGAGTTTTTTTTATAAAATTAGTTTTTATTGATATATTTGCCATTTTTTCTTTAAAATTTTTCTCTTTTAAATGAGGTTTTTCATTTAATTTTTCAATAAAAATTTAAAAATATTTGTCATTTTTACCAAGATTGCAGTATACACAAGTTTATTTTTAAAATTCCTGTTAAACAAAAACCATAAAACTTTTTATTTAATAAAAACACCTTTGATATCTTGTTTTACTTTGAAAAGACTAAAAAACAGAACGATAAAACGCAATGATTATTATGGTTTTAATTTGGCGCGTGTAAAATAATCTCATTGTCCAAACCAATTGTTTTAAAAAGTATGAATGAAATAAATTTAAAGCATTTTGCATAATATCTGCGTTTCTATTGGTTTTTTTTAAATGAATTAATTCTAATTCGATTTTATCTTTGGCAATTTGACATATTTTGTTACCTTACATGTAGACGATTAATTTATATACAATCAAATTCTATTTAGTTTTATGAAATGGGATTTTGTAAATATTTCTTGAATGTAATCACCAGTTATATCAGAGTTTATTCTTCTTCTTTTTTTAAATCTTATTATTAAAAAAACCCACAAATAAATGATTGGAATTGATTGATGAAGACCTATTATACTTCTAAATCTCAGTTGGTCATGTTCTAGTCGGTAAAAAACTAATGCTAGAAAATTTTTTTTTAACTAACAATAAAACGATATGGTTACTTATTTCTACTAGTTGGTTCTTTCAATTTATTACACTGTCCTTTTCTTTAATTCATTGCTCGTGGCTAATCAATTAACTAGATTAGTCATAATTCATCCAATCGTAAATCTACCCAATCATAGCTCATCCAATTATCCAAAAACGCACAAGTGACTAATTTTCTTATTAAACCAATAATAATTAGCACTGAAACTTTAAAATAAGTCAAGTAAATGTTTTTAATTGGCCAATTAAATATTCAACCAATTATTGCTTATTATCAACTCGCATTAAAAAGTTATTTAAATTGAAGAACACTTTTCAGAATAAGGTACTTTGAATTATCAAAATACAATAGTTAAAGAAGCTTCAGCCTAATTACTTCGAGTTACCTCAAGTCTACTATATTCTTGTGAATTATTTTGCCACTCACTGCTTAAAGCATAATTTGAATAAAGAGTTTCTTAGCAAGAGGTCTAGTAATAGGCAAGTAATTTTTAGCTTTTTTCATTTACAAACAAACTTCAAAAATAAAGGGATACTGAATCAATGACAACCAAATAAATTTACTCAATAAATCAAAAACTTCTCCTAGTTTACAATATTGTTTTTCGCATATTTATTTTTGATGAAAATATGACTACAATTTTTTCTTGTTTTACTTACACTTTTTTTTACCATAAAGTAACTTTTTTATTGAGAGTCACAAGCTTTGTTTGACTTTTGTTGTTTTAAAAATTTGGTTTTTTATCAAATAAGCGACTCGTTATGTCTAACTCGTTAACAATCGTGTAGAAGTTATTTTTTTGTAGTTATATTTAACGAGTTTTATTGGGTTTATTATTATTATTTTTTTTTTGATTAAAGAACTGGTAATGAAATTTAACAAAAAGTTTGTTTTATCTATATTTTTTAGCTTTCTTTTTTTTTTTCTATACTTTAAACTATTGTCTTTAGAATATTTATTAAAGTTAACTTGAAACCCAACAAAGTAAATGATGCATGAACAATTACTCGATTTAAACTCTTTTCAAACATTTTTAAACCGACATCAATCAGATCCAACATTTTATGATAACTTTTTTAACTACGCAACATCAACAGATACGTGGAAAACAAATAACAGACTTTCAGGATTGCCCACTCCACCGTCTACTCCAGGAAACAATGATTGTAGATTTAGTTTATTTGTTGATAATACGCCTCAAGGTAAATCCATCTTTTTGCAATCAATCTTTTTTAGTATGTATTAAAAAAAAAAAAAAAATATTTATTAAATTAAAAAAAACAAACATTTTTTAAAACAGAAACTCAAAGCTTTGATTTTTTTTTAATATTATTTTTAGTCCAATTTGGCGATGGATCATTTACCATACCTTATCAAAACGACGAATTCCCTGACTTTATTCTTTCACCAATTTCATCGCCTGAGGAAAAGACGTTTCAAAATACACAATATATGGAAGAAAAATTTACTAAGTACCACAAAGATTTTTCTAAATCTCATGCAGTCTTATTTGGGCGGAATAGCCAGAACGAAAATCTTTCAAACGAACCTAATTTAAATGCTTTCAATCAGTATTATTGTCAAAAAAACTTACAGTACAGAAAACTGTCTCACAATGTGTCCCAAGACAACACACAACATGATACACAGAATATGCCTTGTGTTCATTATTTATATAATCAAGGTTTGCAGTGCCAATCCACAGTTAACCATTCCCCAAAAAACAGCTGCTCAGGTAATAGTTATTCAAAATCAAACCTATCTAATAACCTATGTTATGGTTATCGTGATGAATGTCAGCCTTATGTAACTGGGAATCATTCATTAAATCAAGAAATTTTTGAAGCATTATTTACAAACGGATCTGCATCTGAAATGACTGTTAACGCAATTGATACAACCACTGCTGCTACCATGAATAAAAACTATTTCAACAAAAACTTACATCGACGTTCACAAACTCAATATTTTCGCCAATTAGCATATGAAAAAATTCGCATGAATCAACAACAAAAATTAAACAGCCCAATTTATGATGAAACCGAGCCCGAGTTAAGCAAAGCCGCGCACAATGTTCTTGAAAGACAGAGAAGAAATGAACTCAAGTTGCGGTTTAATTTTTTAAGAGACGAAATACCAGATTTAGCAATGAACGATAAAGCGCCAAAGATACAAATTCTAAAAAGAGGCCAAGAGATGCTGAAGGATTTAAAAGCACAAGAACAAAAACTAATTGCTGACCATGAACTAGAAAAGCAACGCCAAATAATTTTATTAAATCGAATAAAATATTTGCAGTCGGGATTAATTTAAAATTTGTTTTGAGCCATAGCAAAAGCAAAATTTATGTTTTTTGTATTTTTGTACATATATAAATATTGTAAATTTTTTTAATTATATTTCTTACTATTTAGATATTAATATTTTTTTTTAATTGTTTATTAAATGTTAATTTAGAATTATTTAGCGGAGTTTACCCAAAGAAACCATAGCATTGTTAGACATCAGTGCTTCAGAGACGAAGTACTATTTTGGCAAGATATTTGAAAGTAGCTAAACTATGTTGGGAACTGATTAAATGTCATATATAAAAAGGATTATAGAATACTTGATTGACATTAATTTTACTTTGAAGCCCTGAACATTGTTTTGTTTAAATACAACTTTTTGGAGTTCCCACCCCTTATATTGTCAGAACTTTTTCAGATTATGTAAAAATAATTCATAAAAGTTTGCTAATGAGAAATAAGAATAACTTTAATAAAGTACTTTTTTTTTAATTTGATTGCATTTTTTTTACTTTTTTTTTTAAAAAAATTTACATTAAAATAAAAGATGCAAAATTCTTTTCTTCAAAAGTTTTTTAGATTTAAATGATAAAATTATTAAAAATAGCAAATTTGATTTTTTTGGGGAACTTCATTTATCCCGTGGCCTTATAATATCTCCCTGTCGAATTTATTGCATCTTTAATTTGCCACTATGTATAACCCCTGAATAAGGACAATAACAACGACCATTTAACGGGCAAAATACAATTTACATAATCCAATACATCACAATTCCATATGATTAAATTAAAAAGAATTCTCATATACAAAATTAATTAAAAAAAAAAAATTAACATAAATTAACAATTTATTTTTGAAAGTGGTAAATACGGTTACGTCAGATAACTTTTAAAAACTCCAAAAACTTACTAAAAATTAAATTTAAGTGATAATATAAATACATTCTAAAAATTTGTTTAGGTTATTTAAACGCAACTTTTACGAACAACCTGTAGAACTTACAAAAACACTTTTTAATAGTTACAAACAGTCTGTAAGCATTTATATCAAAATGTGTAGAGCTGAAACTTTACGTAATTATGACACAGTTTAATCTGTTTCTTCATATAAAAATAGATTTGTTTATTTTGAAAAACTTTTTTTTGTAATAAGTGACTTAGCAATGC